AGCAGTTTCTAACACTTGCTTTACAAATACAGTGAGATACTTTGTTCAGTGTATGCCCTGGTGAGTCTGATGGTGGTGCTTCAAGCTACAGCATCTAGCAAAAGGACAGTGCATAAAAAATTGCTGTGGCATCAAGTTATGCCTGCATAAGGCAAAGAGCATTGCTCCTTCTTGGCATCTGGATGGTTCTGTTTAGATTTTTACCAGAGAAACACTAACAACAAAGATGATACAAGGACCGCCCTGCATGAAATCTTACCCCCCATGCAAATAACTGCAATAGATTAAAAAGCAATCCAGATATCTTCATTCCTGGCTATAGGAACAAGAATTCCAACTCTCTGATAACTAATTTATTTCCAAATGGAGCAGATGATATTAGAAAAGTCTGCTCTCCAAAACCATCTCGATGTTCTACCTCTGCTGATCCTACATCCTTGACTTTTGCACTGCATCGTCTTGCTGGGAACCAGTTTCCAGACTTCTTAGCTCCTTCTCTCCTTGGTATAGGCTTCTGCTTCTAGCAATAGTCTACGGTTTAGCTGGTGTTGGCATGCATCTGCTGGATTTCCAGACAACTGCCAATGTCTGCAAATCCTGAACAAGTGCTCCACAGAGCAAAGCATGTGCTGTGACAACAAGCATGATAAAGAATTTTGCTCCTGTCCTTTGTTATTTTCATGCCAGCTGCATTTTCTAGCCCTTTGTTTGTTCTATCATTCTCAAATAATGTGATGGATTTTTAAAAATGTAATTTGATTTTCTTTGATTTAATTCTGATATTTAATTTTGTTGATGATGAGGAAGGCATCAATTAGTTAATACTACAGGAATCCAAATAGCGCAAACCCAATATTTTGAAAAGTACTCTTGTAATCAATACTGATACTTTTAAAAATGACAGAGATGCTTTACTGCTATGTGGTACCTCTATAATTTTTCCATGCTTAGGTAAAGATTCTTTACTCCTGCATTAATGGTGGTGTAAAGCAGAAGCACAGTCAATGTGAGTGCGAATGAACATAACAATATTTGCATCCTAAGTAATTTCAGGGTGATTTTGAAGATCTATTTTCTTAGGCAATAGGTTCATTTAACAGTTATGAGTATTTGTCACTACAAATGAATAGAAACCAACTTACTTGCAATATCAACTGATCAGAGAAAGAAAATATTATCATGAGTTTCAGTAGACAATCAATTACATGGAACAAATATGACTTACTAACAGTAGACTATAATCACGGTGTGCTGAATGATCACTAGCACTGGCTAAAATATACCTGCATTATTAACTGGACAAATGAAAAAAAAAGACTGTAAATTTATTCCATGTTTTCCAACGAGAAAACCACAGAAATGAATCAAATAGCTAGTTTGCCTGCTTCTTACTCAAACAGTTACTTTTTTTAAATTTAATGATAGTAAGCTTATTTGACTACTCTTATAGCAAGACTCCACTTACACATCAGAAATTTTATACATGAGCAGGAAACATAAAATGAAAGCCAATGAAGATAAAGCTACTTCAGATGTTTTTCAATGTAAAAGTGAAATATATCTAAGTTTGAGAAATTCCATACATCCAGCAAGCAAACACAGAAAGGATCCCATAACTTTCTGCTGTCCTTTCTCAGGCTGATGGCTTAATGTTTATTCACAGTGCTTTATATATCATACATTATTCATCAGATTATAATGAGAAGTTCTCATCTTTGTTTTTATGTTACAGTTTGTTATGTAGCAATTACAGCAGGGTAATCAAGTCTTGGGTTTTTTTCTTTAAGAACTGGTAGTGCAATCTTCCACCCTCATACATCTTAGACAGTACTAAATTAATTAAAAAAGATAATTGAAATTCCCCAACTGAAACATCACAGCAGTTTTCTCAGAACACCTTATCTATCTCCTGTAAATGTTCCAGATCGAGTTGCCAGAATGTTGATTTCATTAGAAAACCAAAATAGCAACAATCAGTGACAGTAAGCAGAGGAGCCTCACTGTTCACAGATATTGAAAAATCCAGAGGCTTGAACTAGCCAGAAAGTCTTTTTTAAAGGAAGCAGCCAGAATCAGTTTTCTAAAGCACATTCGCTTTTGTACTGTGTGACTTGCATAGAACTTACCATAGAGCATTCTATAATCATTTGTGGTTTACTGAGTTTCGGGAAAAGAAAAGCAGGTTTAGCTAATAGGGAACAACATAACAAGAAACCAGGACCTGGGCTTTAAGGCAACTGCCCTTTTCACACTTAAATACTCTTTCACTTGCATATCATCTTTCTTCCCTAAATATAATTTTTTTTGCTTTCCAAATATGTAAACTTTACGAACACTCCCCAAGCTAGGCAAGGAATGCCCTCTGTGGTGGTTGATTTTTGCCCTCTATTTGGGGGAGTTAGGGGCTATGAAGACAAAAGGGTCTATCATTGTGGATTTTAAAGATCACTTGCCAGTGATCTTTAAAAGGGTTGAGGCAGGGAAGGAGTGACGTGCTCCCAGTCCTTCCTCTTCTCTGCAGCATATAACAAAATGCAGCCATTTCTAGGGTGGAACAATGCAGCTGTTCAAAGCTACCAGCAACTGTACAACAACGAAATCACTCAGTTCACAGCCGGGAATAGAGAGTAATATTCAGTCTAAATGAATTTGCAGATGAATTCAGACAGGCTATAAGTTTATTAATTGGAATTGGATTTACAGTCCTTCTCATCTAAAAATATTTTGGAAACTTTAATGAGTGCAAGGCGTCCCAACCTCTTTGTGTATGATATGCTGAAAGCAACCTGAGAGGCACTGTGGAGCAGGAGGGAAAAGGGAGAATCACTTGCATGATCTGTGTGCTCAAAAATCCCTCGTTGTGTCCCAGTGGTGCCTCTGACTGGCCAGGCCGGATTTTGGTTCTGGGTACTCTTGACTCACCAACTGCTCAATTAGTCTGTTCTAGAAAAAAAAAAACAAACCAACAAACCAAAACAAACAACAAACCGGTAGGAGTTAATTCTTCCTTTATTGTGGCCACATGCATAGGTGATAGTGGATAGTCACTGTAGGAAGTATCTGTTAACACCAGTTACTTAGGAGAAAATACATATAGCAATAAATGTATGCACAGGATTTTAACATTACTATTATTTTCCCTGAGTAACAGCAGCTACATTAGTCTAATATTCTGAAAACCCTTTTCTCTCTGTTTTCATTTTATGGAGGGCAGCGTTTAAATGATGTACTCCAATTTTCTAATTGCCACTGAGATTGTTTAATGAAAAAAATAGTATTCACTTCTGTTATATCCTTATTTGTGTTTCTATTGTGCTTAGTTTTTTATATTAGAAATATAACTGAGTCACAACACAGATGTATTTCTTCTTAGTGTTCTGTTTCTTAAATATTACTTCTTTCCTTTTTCTTCATGTAGTACGTTTTAATCTGACCTCACAGTCATGCTACTTTTTTCCCAGAAAAACATAAGCCCTTTAAAATTTGATTGCTTTGTTTTTACCAGTCTTTGTTTTCATTTTAAACAAAAATGACCTCTGTAAATATTAATTTCCATTTGCTTGTAAACTGCTTTACACTAAACTGTAAACTTTTTTCCATAGATCTTAACTCTACAGTAGACAAAACATTAAAGAAGATTTTAGTGATTACATGTATGCATAAGGAAAAGAAAATAATCTTTTTATGTAAATAGCTTTTAGGACCCTTCTGATGTTGTGCGAAAGCAAACCTGTTACTTTGTCTGCAGCACATACAAATTAAATTAAAAGGAGAAAAACAGTTTCAACAAAAAAAAAGCCTTTTAACATGTAGACTCTTTGGAGTTTTATGAACTACTCCTTGTGATGAAATAGTCTTCTCTTTAAAGAACATTCCCAATATTGCCCACATCTTCACCTAGAGAATGGTTTGGAGTATATTTTGATTTTTAAAAGAAATCATATAGCAATGAACTGCAGATACTTGTCTTGTCACAGCTGTGTGTTAATACAATCAATGTTGACTGCTACAAAAGCTGTACTGTCACTATCATTGTGAGAAATATGTGCCCATAGCTCAAATGCACCATGTTGTTTTTCTGATTCTTCTTGGCAGCTTGTGCTAAGGCCGTATTTTAAGGACATCCTCTAAATGAAAAGGTTAGGTTAGGATTTAGGATTCCTGGAATTGTACATTGTCTTAATGCAATGTGCTATGAGATAAGAGACATGGAGTTCTGCACAGTTTGTCCATGAGGGGTGTTTACAGACCTGCAGTAGTAACTTCAGGGAACAGACGAATCCCAGATGATTAAAACAATAATAATAACGATAAAATAATAATATCGGTATCTGAAATATTTGAGTTAGCCTTCTACAAAGCCTGTATCGGTTCTGTATCTGATAATCTCATAAGCTGATAGATGACTATGTGTTTTCTTTGTTTCAGAAGTAATAGAAAAAATTCTAGTGAGAACATTAAAAGTGAGATTTTAGAGGCAGGGGATTTGCTATTTTATACTATAGATGAAAAAAGTATCTAGATTTAGACAAATTCTTCAATTTACTTCACGAGTACTAACTCCAAATTAGGTCTGAAATATGTGAAATCACATTAGTTTTCAGCGGCATTGGATAGGTACAACTTCAGGATAAATTGATTGTTAAGAAAGGTAATTTAGCCTACAAGATCTTCATTATTGATAATGATAGAGAAGTAACCGGTCTGGTTCTCAGATTTTGTTATAGGGTTTAATTAAAATTATTTCATTAAAATGAAGTGAGAACAGCTAGCAATCCTGCAATCTCATTTTTATGAAATTACTTTCCAGACCAGGAATGCACTTAAATCTTTAATGGTGTTTCCACATTTCTGAAATTGAAAACCTTAAATTACTTTTAATGTTATAGGTGGAAACTGTCGATAAATACTACTTGTAGCTTCAAAACATCCTGACCGTGACATGCTGTACGCCTTTTGTCTCAGTGTTCCAGGATAAAGGACAATGGAAGTGAAGCTGTATCCATGAAAAAAGAGGTGTCTTGATCCATTTCCAGAGTGGGCCTGAAACAGGGGAAGAACTGACAAAGCCAAAGCTTCTCCTTGCTATCTTTTGCTGATCTCGTCTTCCAGTTTCACTAGAGCTGATTTCAGGGAGGAGAAATCTGATAGTAAGTATTCAGTGGCCAAGGAAGTGCACGGTTCTTCAGTGCTGAATTATCCACAGCTGCTTACTGTTAATAGCCAGGAGCTAGACACAACAGCACTGGCGGGGCAGCCACCCGCCTGGCTCCACAACAAAATAGGGAATGTCCAAACTTAAAGCCATTATTTTCCTCAGTGGCATGGTATTTCAAAATAATTTTGCATAACTGAAGGTAATTATATGTATTATATCTTTTGCCATATAACCAGCAAAAGAGATAGGGACAACAGGTGAAACTGCAGCACAGCAATGATAAAGGCTTTGTTTTGCATCCTGCTTATGAAAGAGTCACTAATACTCTGCAGCCACAACCACATCCAATTTAACTGATGTTTATCACCTCATGGACTAGATTTTTCATTCTGATTAGGCAGTTGTGAGAGATTTGGAAGGTTTTAGATTTTCTCTGACATATCCGGCAGTATTGGCTCCAATAACATGCAGAAAACCAGCTTCTACCATTCAGTGGTGAATCCAGCTCTGGGTAGCAGGTATGAGGACGGGTCAAGACTTGTTCTTGGCCAGCTCTGTGTTCTGTGCTGGGCCTTATTCCGAGTCTTGCAGGTAAAAGATGCCCCTCTGCACTTTCATTTTGACATCTCTTTCAAAGGCACTGGGATTGATTTCCGGATTATTTTGTACAGGAACGAATGCTTTTGAGAGTCTTGTCTGAGGTAGCTGTTACTGAGACTTAGCACCACGTAAAACCGTTACAAAGGCTTTTCTAGAAGAAGCACTCAAAGGACAGGAAAGCCTATGAAGCCTGAATTCCAGATGCATATATGAAGGTGGCTTTGAGCCATGATTTTTTTTGGTTTTGCTAATCCTCTGCCACTTTTTTCTTTTTTACACCACAATGTTTGTTTGTTTTTTGACTGGGAGGAACAGTCACTTTATCAATACACCTTTCTCATGTCACTCCCATGTTTCTACTTTGTATAAATCAGAAAAACATTGACTCTACCCTGTAACCAAGGCAGTATTTTTAAACGTACTCGAGCAGTAACTAGAACCAGAGCATGCACACAGGTGAAGTACCTGCATCATCTTTCACTCTAGATAGTCAGGCACAATTCTACATAAATATGTATATTGCCACAGATAAAAATTTGTTTCTAGGGCACCCGTGAGGAAAAGCAACGTATTTTTTGGGCCGCGGGCCGCCTGGGCCGCGCCGCCGCTCTGCCCTCAGGCTCCCGGCCGGCAGCCGCTGAGGGCACGGCCTCGCTGCCGCCATTGCGCAGGCGCCGCCGGGGGGGCCGGGCGCGCTCCCAGCCGGGGCGCGAGGGGGGGCGGTGGCGCGCGGGCAGTGTCAGACGTGGCAGTCGGGTGAGCGCGTGTCCCCGGGCGGAGGCGCGCGCCGCCCCCCGGTAACGGTGCTAACGGCCGCCGCGCGCCCTCCGGCCGCCGCCACAGCCCACGGGTGCAACGGCGGGGATCGGGCCCCGCCAGCCGGGCAGCGCCGGGGTGAGCAGCCGCGGGGGTCGGGCGGGGGGAAGCCGGCAGGGGCAGGCGGGGGGG